AACGACCCGAGTCGGGTACCTCGGTTACCACATGCCCAAAAATACACTCAACACAACGCCGACGTGAAGGAGGTCGCCGGCGTGAGTTCGAGCTGCGAGCTGTGAGCAAGAACCGGCAGTGGCTAGCATGAAAGTTGGTTCGCAGGTGGCTGTCCGCCATGAAGGAGCTGGGAGCTGATGGGGACGAAGGCGCGTTGCTGGGACGTGCGGGAGGCTAGAACTGGAGCTGGTGGTTCGATGGTGGCACGAGCTCGGGGCTGAGGAGTGCCGACTCGATTTGGAGATGGTGGTGCTCGCCGGCAGGAAGGGCAATTCGACGGACCGAGATGGCTTGAAGGTGGGTTTGCCGGCGTGGGTTCGACGACAACTCGCCGAAAAATGGGACAGCTGGTCGGATTTGAGGAGAAGGGCTAAGAAATGATGAACTTGTGATGGTGGGCTAAGGTTGAAGATGAAGTAGAGACGATATGTATTTATAGGATTGGGAAAAACTAGGGTGTTGGTATTGTTGGCCCCAAAATCGGGCTTTGAATTTTCTGACTCTTGGGCTTGAAAAATTAGATTATGTAATCGTGCTAAATAATAACCGAACATTGGACTTGGCTTAAAATAAATCGTTCGGGTAAACTAGAAAAATATAACGATAGTTAGACTAAATTAATAATTTAGTTGGTCAACTATACTGAAATAATTTAGCTTGGATTCTAGAAATCGACTATATGCTCAATTTTTTAAAATAAACTAAAATAAAATCGAACTTGGTCTCAGATAAAATAAAATCGGCCAAAATAAAATCAAACATAGGATCGATTAACTTAAATGGACCGGTTAAAATTAATGGACTCACTCGAAAATGGTTTGACTCGATATTCGGGCTTGGGTTCGCTTAAATAGAATTTCGATCATTCTCAGGCTCGATTTTAAAAATAGAACCGATACTTGGGCTTAATAAATCCGACTTTAATAAATTGAATAAATTCTCCATGGCTTAGACTTTAATACTAATTACTCCATTTAATGCAAATAATAATAATAAATGCATCAAATTAGGAAACTTAATATTTATGGAAACAAAAGTTGAGTTCCATAATTAATAAATAATAATCTGGGCGTTACAATCTATCCTCCTTAAAATATTTATGCCATAGGAAATGCCAAAATTAAACATAAATCCGACTCAACTAGAAACTAGGAATCGAAAAATACATAGTACTAATCGGAAATGAAACTCTGTGTAACAAGCACAGATTTCATCCTCTTGCTCCCAAGTGGTTGTGATACCATGCAAGAAATGGGAAAAACGGGAGCGGTCCCACGCAGATGAAGCGCACTAAGTGGGTTTCATCCCAAAACCAATGGTTGAAAAGAGGACTAGCCCATTAGACTTATAAATCAAGTCTATTTTTCTTATATAAATTATGTACGACAACTCACAAGTGAATATTTTAATAGTAATCTTTATGATTTATATACATGGTCGACCATATCTATTGTCAAAGTCATGCCCAATTATTAGTTATGTTAAACTATATATGTTTTACCGCATTTAATATCAGTAGGGATGGCAAAACGACCTGGGCCCGGCTCGACCCGGCC